TTTTTAAAGATGACGATTTAGGAAAAACGGAAATTCAAAAGTCTTGTTATTGAAATCAATTGATAATTATGTTTTTTTTGAGAGATTTTTCACTTAACATATGTAGTGTGAATATATTGTAGCTAAAGATCACATGCGAGTTGCCTGTACATTTTAGCCTTACTGGGATCTGCGCTGACAATCGTTTTCATATAATTACATTAAATTATTTTTGAGTTCTTTTTAAAGTAAGAATTAAATTTTATTTTAATAAAATAACGTGTTGTTTAATAGATTAGATATAAACTTATAAGAATTCATTTGCATATATTTATTTTTTTTAGCAGCATTAGAATTATGTCGAAATAATGTTGAATCAATAGTGCTTATATATAATAAAGTATTTCATCATGAAGATAATCAAGAAAATCTAATAGATTTTTCGACATTAGATGATATTAAATATTATATTGATAATCAAAGACGTACTTTTCATAAATTAATAAATATTCAACGAACATTAGTTGGTTATGCATCGATTGAACCAACTTGTTGGTGGCTTAATAATGGATTTTCAACTTCACGTTATAAAACACTTGTTCAACACCAAATTGATATTTATAGAATGTTATATCATATTAATTCATCTGTAAGTATTTATTTAAAGAAGAAAATGATTTGTTTTCGTTTTTTTTTATTTAAGTTATTACGAATAAATGAATGCTCAAATATGGATAAACAACAAGTTGAAAATCTTCGTATTTGTGCATCTGATGGTTTATTTCTTCCTAATCTTTATGATGAAATTCGTAATTTAAGTAAACAGTTAAATGATTGTTTTCAAGTTTGGTCATCGTATTTTTATTTAACACAAACAAAATCTTATCAAATACATCGTGGTTCAATTTATCATCGAAAACATTTGATTAAAACAGATTTAAATATATATGAACAATGTTTAACTGAACTTCATCGAACTGTTGTTTATCTTCAAATAGAACATCAAAAATCAACAAATCGATTAATAAAATATTATTTTCAAAGATTTTTTTCTGGTGAAATACCTGAAAATTTTGTTCCATTTGTTAAAAATGATCAAGCTGATTCAATATTTATTGCTATGTCAGCTATGTATTATTCAATAACACAACTTGCAAAAGCAGCTTTAACTTTGGGTACAACAATGCATGATGTTTTTGAACTTGAAACAACTGATTTATATCGACCTTTTTAAAAATTTGAACAATCTTTTTTTCTTAATCTTTTTTTAATAATATTCTGATGAATGCAAAACTGGCGTTTATGTATTTTTATTTCAAAATGAATTTTCTTTAGAATTGTTCAATCTCTTCTCAATTAATTAAAGAAAATTTTCAACTGTTAGATAAAGTCTTCAACAGATAATTATACGATACATAATTGGAAAAAGAATAACACTTCATCACGTTAACAACCAGATTTATATCTTTATGTATAGTAGCTTTGATTTAAGTACATGTTTTACTCTAACCATATAGAGATTTATGACTGTCAATGTCCATGACGATACATTGTTGGATATGTTATTAAAAATCCTTTTTGGATTATTAAATTTCAATATAATATTTCTTCGTAGATCAACGAAGAATATTCTTTGTTGTAGTCATATAAATGATATCTGATTTAACAAGTCATGCAACTCTATTGCTGAAAGTAAGAAAAAATAGACTGATCTTTTATTTATGTTACTGATCAAATGGAAGAAATGTCTTTTGTTTCATATTTTCTAAAAATTTCTACTGTTGTCGAATTTTTAGTAGATAAGAGGATCAATGCTGCATGTGAGCACCAAATTTTATTATAAGATACTGAACAAATGTTACAGGTGCTGGGAGTTTCAAACCTGCACTGTCTCCCTTGACTTTAGTTTTAATCATTTAATTAAAGTGCTTTTATATGTAATATTTGATCGCAAATCTTTTTCTCAATGTTGTAATTGTATATCTAATTCATTGCAAATTTAAATCATAGCCAATCATTTCACTCTCATTTCGTTTATTTTTATAGTTATTTTATCGACCATCGCTGTGTTCACATAAATAATAAAAGATTAGGATGAATACGTGAGGTTTCTACTACTTTTCATGACATTTTTTTTGTCGATTTTAATAGTCTAGTTAGACTTAACATCGTGGGAAACGGTCTGATGTAACAATTACAACCTTTTTGGACATATAAAGAGTATTCAATAATAACTAATAATATATTGTTAATCATATTTTTCATAGTCTTGGCATAAAGAGCTGAAACTTTAAGAAATAAAAGATCTTGATTAGATATATGTGTGCTGAAAAATTCCGCTTTCTATGTCAAGAAAAAGTATGAAAAATATGATTAACCATATATAGTTAGTTATTATTGGATACTCTTTATGTGTATGAAGTATTTCTAAAAATGTGGTTCTTCACACTTTCTATATCCCAAAAGCCTTATAATTGATACATCAGACCATTTCCGACGATGCTACGTCTAACTAGACTATTAAAATTGAAGAAAAATACTTTCTTTCAGAATATTGACACATAGTACCCTTCCTCCAAAAGAGCGGTAGAAATCTCATGAATTTGCCTACCATTGATTTCGACAGTAATTCGTCAGTTATTATGATTATAATATATTTTATTTTATCAATGTATTTATCTGAATTGAAACAATGTTCAAAACCGATATTCACAATAAAGGAAAATATGAATGAAAATTTTCTGGACAGACAAATGGTTTACGTGTAAAAATGCTTCGCAATTAACTACAATTGCAACGTGCAGCATCACTTGTGAAATTATTTGTTACCATTGCCAATTGTTTATATTCGATGACGAGATTTTTCAAATGAGGTAAACGAGTGTTTGTTTCCAAGAGAAATTGTTCAACATAATCAATATGTGCCAGATGAAGATCGACTTTGACTAGATAAACAAATGTAATCAATGTAGACGTACGTTGCTTATATTTTTGTGGTTTAGAATTAAGTACGACTAATTCCTGAAGGTAAGAAAAGTCGCGAGAAATTTTTTCAAATAATTCATGTTCAAATAAACGTTGATCGGTCATTGTCAACGATTTAACTTTATCGAACATTCCACCAGGAAAACAACTGGTTAGATGAAGAAAAGTATTAAATTCATATGGAAGTGAATAGACATGGCATCTGCTTTCGTTTTTCGTAATTTTATCATCAACATAAGAACCAACTTGTTGATATTTTCTATTGTTGAAACTATTGTTGAATATCATTGTTCGATGGAAGATCAATTGTACCATATATATTGGCAACCAGAGTGTTTATATTGAAAGTAAATTTATTTAATCGTGGCATGAAAATAAGAATTTCATCATATAACTAAATGCCATCAATATAAGTCGATTCAATCCTTTCTACCGAAAGAAATAATGTTAGTTCTTTCATATTTGACATTCGACGTAATAATGAAACAACTCCATTATCATAAAATTGTGTATAGCATGCTGATATTAATGAGAAGCATTTCAATTTGGGTAGTTTTTTCTATAAAACAAAAGAAATAATGAATATAATTGAAGCATAAATTTTCTAAAAACACATAATGATCGAACTTATACTTACTGTATTATCTATATATGCTGATGAATCGAAAATTTCAAATATATTGATAATAAATGTAGACAAACATTGAAGACGTCCATCAAGAAGATAAAGACAATTATCGAAAGTATTTACTTCAATGTTCAATTTAGTTAGAGTCGAAGATACACAACTAGTTGATGTTATATTTAAAGTCGGAATTTCGAAGGCTCTATTAAGAAACCATTGACTAAAAGTCAAATCGATTAGACATTTACCCAAAGATAATATTAATTCAAACATATTTGATTCATTTTCATCAGATAAATCTCTTGTTATATCACCGATGATTTCAACATTAAGATGCGTTATTTGATTAGTAAGAAGATGGCAAAGTATTGTATCACCTTAAAATAGAAAACTTATAATTAGTTCTTGTATAAAAATACAAAGATTTTGCCAGATAAATCAAACAGAGTTGAAAAGTATACCGGTTAAATGTTGTAAAAGTATTTTTTGTTTAAAATTAACAAGTGATAAAGAGTGAAGTTGAGGATAATTCATATTAAGAAGTGTACGTTCCATCGACAGTGGTTGAACAGTTAACTTGTTTATTTTATGATGAATCAGAGGAAAGATTTTTTCACTGATTCGATCGAGAACTTGATTAGGTATTCCAGAGTTACGATTTAGGAATGAGTTGTTCGCTAGATTGAGATGACAAATATAGAGAGAATCGAGCACTAATCGATCAAATCGTTGATTTACATCCACAAGTGAATAAAGTACATCGACCATATTCATTTTATTTAAAATAGCAAGTAACATTTCGTCAGGTAAATCAAGTATATTCATATCGTTGTTATTTAAAATGTTCATGTGTAACCGATATTTTCTATCTTGTTCAATCTCTTTCTCTATATATATCTATTATCATATTCTCTTCATTGTCGTCTATAAGAACAATAAAGCATAACATAATGTTATCATCATGTTGTCAGATGGTGAATAGCCGACGTTATTATTTTTCTTTCGGTCTAAATTTTTTTATTTCTCATACATCAAATGTATTAGAATCAGAGCTGCCAACAGGCTAGTTTTTTCAGCCTGGCCTGCAGGCTGTTGAGAGAACAGAACAAGTTTATCAAATATTTTACTACTTTCATGGATAAAATTGTACAATGTGCATCAGACTTTTTTTCATTATCTCACTCTAGTTGTGATCGCATATTTCTCCTCAATTAAGATGATGCAATTACGAACTTTTCCAAGAAATAGAAAATCAAAAGATACGCTGCTGAAAAATAAGTCTTGCTTATACAGACGGTTATTCCTTCAAAGTCATTCTACTTTCATCAGGGTTGTTTCACAACAGTGAAAAATATACACTAATAAATATAACATAAAAATTGAAAAATAGCAAACAGTATTAATCTAAGTCAAAAATGTTTGCTGCTTCTCTTTGTTTGCTGAATGATGCTTGTTGAATTTTATTATTTGTCAATTTCATTTTGTATCAGAATACATTATCCTTCCCCATTGAGACATATTCTAACTTAATGATAAGTCAGCATAAAAATACGAAAACAAGCAAATTAGTTTACAAGAATCATCTCTCCTAAAGAAAAAATACAGACTTTTGAACTGATGTAAACTGTTGGAGTTAGGTGCTACTTTGAATCTTCATTGTTAATACTGAAACAGAATGGATGAGACAATTGAATATCACTAATGATCATCATTGTCATTCATCGCAGGACATAGTGAGGTCACCCATTCACCATTCTGTTTACAAAAAGACTCGCATAAAACATTGAAGATCGAGGCGTGCAACAGGTGTTTGTTTTAAAATTAAAGCATGTCATTTTAAAATTTTTTATGAATTTTAAAATAAAAATTTGATTAGATGTCTTCGGAGTATATCCCCGGAAACTCCATTATGTCCTAGGGTAAGAGGTAGATAGATAGGTATAGGAGATATAGGAGGTATAGGAGTTATAGTAAACAGTTATTTATTTTTTATGATTGATTTTTTCGAGCAAGGGCCGTATAGGAAAAATGGTAAACACTTATTTATTTTTTATGATAGTTTTTTTCGAGCAAGGATCGGCAAGTGGCACCCATATATTTTATGAATACATGTTTAAATTCAAACACTATTGAATGATTAGCTGTATCAGTTAATCAATATCTCCTATACCTCCTATATCTCCTATATCTCCTATATCTCATATACCTCCTATATCTCCTATATCTCCTATACCCATCTATCTATCTACCTCTTACCCTAGGACATAATGGAATTTCCGGGGATACTCTCCGAAGACATCATATGGATTCTGTCTATCAAACATGGACGATCGGTTTGACGGACACATTGCAGAAATAGCTCTACTCCTTTCTTTGAAATAGACCAACTTTTTTCAGAATTCGGCTCGTGACGATCGTAGTAGCGTGCTGTAGTTAAATGATAAAAGAAGGTGCTGTCGAAGTAAATTATGTTGTTGGTTTTCACAGTGGAACTGTCAAATGAAAGTGATTGGAGCAGTCTTTGAACTTGATCGATTCTTTGATTAGCTTTCGTTGGGGAGGACAAAATATTTGGTGAAGCAGAAAACCAACTTTTCATGCGCTTCTTGTCCAATGATGTCGAGCAACGATTTCAAACACTGTTGATAATCAGTGAGTTTCGAGTCGCCTGATTCTATCAAAACACAAATAGCATTCAAATGCTTTAGATTCGAGATGTATGGTAGAATGTGTTGTATAATTGTTTCATTGTGAGGTTGATTGCGTGTATCAGAAAAGCCTGGGATATCAACGATACATAGCTCTTGTCCATTTTCAGTGTTAAATGTATATAATTTGCAACGCTGAGTTGTCGGTTGGCGGCGATAGTAACAATAATAGTATTCGTTAGGATCATTATTGCCAATTGAAATGAAATGCGTACCTGCATCAGTCTCTAACGGAAAGAGAAGTGGAACAAATATATGAGGGTGTGGGTGTGGGTGTGGGTGTGGGTGTGGGTGTGGGTGTGGGTGTGGGTGTGGGTGTGGGTGTCGGTGTCGGTGTCGGCGTGGGTGTTGATGTGGG